CTTATATGCTTTAGCGCGCGCATATGCAAGTCCGAGAGCCCGTCTGCGCCTGAGCCGTTACAAGCTCACGTAAGCGCGGCGAGATTTCCTTCGGGTTTCGAGGAAGACGATTAGTAGTGAGCACACGACTCCTTCGCGGTCCTCCGCTCGTCACTCGGTTGCCAGGGCGAGTGTGGGACTCCTGCCCCTCCCTGCACCCCCTCACTCCCTCCCCCCCTTCCCCGCCCGTACTCGCTCTCCCTTTCCCTGCCCGCACCCTACTCGCATCCTCGACACACTCACCCCCTCTCTCTCTCTTCCCTCCACACACTCCATTCTCTCCCAACCCCTGTCCACGCCCTCACTCCCTCTCCCTTTCCTCCCCCCTTAACATCCCTATCCACCCTCCCCCTTCCCAACATCCCTAAACTCCGCATTTCTTCCCTCCCTGCAACCCTACACTCCCTCTCTAACCTCCCCTCTTCTCCCCACACCTCATTTCACTCTCCATACACCCCTATCCCTCCCCTCTTTTTCCCCTCACTCACCCCACTCCCCGCACCCCCCTCCCTCTCCCCTCTCCATACACCCTCTCTCTCTCTCCCCCCCTCACCCCTCCCCTTCCCCCCACCCCAGTGAACCTCAACGCCGGGGTCAGCGTGCAGCAATCATGAGGTTTGAAGCATGAGGGTTGAGTGTGCAGTGCATGGAGGCAATAATTTTGAAGCGTGGGATGTCTGGGAAGCTTTCGAGTTATGAGGGAAGAGCGTGAGAGCAGTATGAGGGAGAGGATGAGGAAAAGAAGATTGGAAGATGTAAGGGAAAATAAGTATATGTATATATTATATATATATATATATATATATGTATATGTGCGTGCGTGCGTGCGTGCGTGTGTGTGTGTGTTGTTGTGTGTGTGTGTGTGTGTGTGTGTGTGTGTGTGTGTGTGTGTGTGTGTGTGTGTGTGTGAGAGAGAGAGAGAGAGAGAGAGAGAGAGAGAAGAGAGAGAGAGAGAGAGAGAGAGAGAGAGAGAGAGAAGAGAGAGAGAGAGAGAGAGGTCCCCGTGCATGTACCTATGCAAGAGCGCACCCCACCGCCCCCGTGCATAAGCAATACACGCCATTCCAATCGGCGCCCCCGGCTGCCTCCCCGTCGCCTCCTAAGCGCTCGGGTCTCGAGGAGTTCCGCCAAAGCCTCTTCTCTTATATAATTCTCTCTCGTCTGCTTACGGCCTCCTCGAAGGTCAGCTGGTATTCTTGGATATTTTTTACCTCGCTTCTTGCGTCACATTTGCAATAGCATTGGGGATTTTCACGCGATTTTCCTTGTCTTGAGCTGGATTAAAGTTTCTTTCCTTTTTGGTACTGATACTGCCCATGCTCTGCATTAACAATGATTAACATTGTTTAACATTCAAGTCTTATACATAATTACATACACACACACACACAACACCACACACACACACACACACACACACAATATATATATATATATATATATATATATATATATATATATATTATATATATTTTTTTTTTTTTTTTTTTTTTTTTTTTTCTTTCTTTTCTTTCTTTTTTTTTTTACCTGTTGAGTCTCGTATCCTTCAAACTTTTAAAACTATTACATAACTGATTTTTACATTAATAAAAAATGCAACACAATATTAATAATACTAATGATAGTAATAAGAATAAACTAATAAAGATAATGATATAATGATATAATTCCATTATATAGTAATCATTATCATTATCATCATTATTATAATCATTACTATTACTAATGATATTAATAATATCATTATCGCTATTATCATTATTAACACTAATATCATTAATACTATTTTTAACATTTTTATCATCACGATCATCTTTATCTTTATCTTTAATATCATCACAAAAACCATAATAATGATAGGGATACTGATGTCGATGGGGGTGATGAAGACAATAAAGAAATAAAGACAATAAAAAAATGAAGACAATAAAAAATAAGAAATAAAAAAAAAAAAAAGACAATAAAAAAAAAAACAATAAAAATAAGACAATAAAAAAATAAAGACAATAAAAAACGAAGACAATAAAAAATAAAGACAATAAAAATAAAGACAATAAAAAATAAAAATAAAAAATGAAGACAATAAAAATCTAAGACAATAAAAACGAAGACAACAGAAAAGATAATCAAAGAGAATAGAGCTGGAAATCACGATGACTCTCCCCACCTTGTCAGCCTTAATAGAATCACAGAATAACTCCCACCGCAGTTGTGACGCCGTTAGCAATGACGACGACCTACCTCAACAGCCTTATGCAAGAGCCCTCCTCTCTTTCTCTCTCTTCCTCTTTCTTTCGCTCTTCTTTCTTATCCTTTTCGCCTTATTTTCTCCGTCTTTGCTAGTTTGTTTCTTTTTCTTACCCTTTCTCTTTCTTTTTCTTTCTTTCTCTCTCTCTCCTTCCTGACCTTGATACCTTACTCCCTCCTTCCATTTTCCTCCTCCCTCCCTTTCCTCCTTCCCTCCTTCCCTCCATCTTCCTCCTCCTTCCCTCCATCTTCCTTCTCCACTCTCCCTCTTCTTCTTCCCTCCCTCCCTCTCCCTCCTCCTCGCCTTTCTCTTTTTCCCTCTAACTTCACAAACGCCATTTGCACAGTACGAACCAGTGGATAACTAGACAGGAAAATTGATAGCAAAGAAACGTAGATAAATCGATAGACGGAAATGGTCATAAATAGATAAATAGATAGACGAAGTACTGGAAGTAGTTGACAGATACGAGGAGGGGACCAGTAGATAAACAGATAGACGGAAAGGGCCAAAAGTAGATAAACAGATCGAAGGAGATAGCCAGAAGTAGATAAACATATAGACGGAGAGGGACAGAAGTAGATAAAGATATATAAATATAGACGAAGGTGGACGGAATGGACCAAAAGTAGATACACAGATTGAAGGAGATAGCTAGAAGTAGATAAACATATAGACGGAGAGGGATAGAAGTAGATAAAGATATATATAGACAAAGATGGAAAGAATCCAGCTAAGAAAATAAAACACCAACTCATTTCAAACAGTCCCCAGGTAAACAAACAAGCCTAAAATGAAAAACAAAAATTCAGTCTGAAGTCCGTATCACACTAGCACTTTTTCCGTTATTTTTCTGCGTTTCCGAATGAACTCCGTATGAAAATCATGTAGACAAGCTTGGCGCTATCGGAGTGAGGTCCCGGGAATCACACGAACATTCCCATTAATATTACGTTATTTCAAAGAAATATGATGATGTATACTGTATATACGAATGTTCTAAAATATTAGCTTATGTTTACATCCACTCATCCCATCTAATTTATTAATAGCACAAGATCAACACGGAAATTAGTCAAGACGGAAACGGTCGTAACACGTCTTGGTCTGGGACGCGTTCCGTTAGCAGACGATCCCAGCCGAAAGCCCCAAATTCAGACGGAACCCCAGAAATTGACGGAAAAAGTGTTAAGTGTGATAGGGCCTTTAGGGAAAAAAATCACAGCAATACCCCAGCGCACAGCGGCGTAACGCGACCCACTTTTCTCCCGCTGTACAAATCCTTCCCGAATGTTCCCGAACGTTCGATCCTTGACGGAAAAGTGGAGAGAAAATAAATACTCACGAGAGTCCTTCGCGTTAGGAAGATAAAAATGTTCATAGTTATTTTCTTCTTTTTCTTTTGGCGATTTTAAAATACATTGAATAAAATAGCCAAGTACATACTTTGCATGCGAGAAAATAAAACGAGTTATGTAACGCGGAAATACTATCTTATAACAGGACTGAGGCGGAGATGGGTCATGTGTCAGCAGGCCCTCCGGCGCTCCAGGGAGAGGGGAGAGGGGGAGAGGGGGAGGGGAGAGAGGGGGGAGGGGAGGGAGGGAGAGGGGGAGGGAAGGGGAGGGAGGGGAGGGGAGGAGGAGGGAGAAGGAGGGAGGGAGAGGGGAGGGAGGGGGAAGAGGGAGAGGAGGGATGGAGAGAGAGAGAGAGAGAGGAGAGAGAGAGAGAGAGAGAGAGAGAGAGAGAGAGAGAGAGAGAGAGAGAGAGAGAGAGAGAGAGAGAGAGAGAGAGAGAGAGAGAGAGAGGAGAGAGAGAGGAGAGAGAGAGAGAGAGAGAGAGAGAGAGGGAGAGATAGAGAGATAATCCATGCTGTTCGGATATCTCGATAATTCGTAGGAATAGCATAAAGTATTCCATTATTTCTATACTTTTGGAAATTCCAAAAGCCTTCGTGATATTTCCAGCAGAACTCAAAAAAAAAAAAAAAAAAAAAAAAAAAAAAAAAAAAAAAAAACTGATCGATTCTGAAAAATATACCCACAGTTTTGCACACCTCCAGAAGCTATGGCGCCTAAGGCAGAAGTTGTATCGGCAGAGAGGGTGCGAAAGAGGAAAAGAAAGAGATAGATAAAAGTAGAAAAGTATTTAAAAGAAATAAACAGTTACAGCTAACAAAGACAGTTGACAGATCGAGAGAAAGCCTGAATATAAACACACCCTCAGTTCACCACCTTGCAGATCAACATTTAGATGGTCAAGATGAAAAAAAAATCTTACCTGTAGCTAAGTCGGTCTGCATCGGGGGCGTAACCGAGGTCTGTGACGTCATATTAGGGGGCGGAGTCAGCGCCGGGGGGGAGGGGGAGAGGCAGGGGGATGTGGTGGCGTACGCCGGTGATTACGAGACTTGGGGATCGCGACCGAAATCGGCGGCTTCATCTCCCTCTTTATCATGGCCTCCCCGACCCCCGCTCCCTCGGCGTCACCTGGGGGAGCGGCGTCCCCCCCGGCGGCCGACTCCAGACCCCCATTGAGGAGGACAGCGCAGTGCTTGAGCGGGAGGCTGTGGTTGGCGCTGGTGGTGGTGGTGGTGATGACGGCGCTGGAGGTCGGCGCGGTGGCCTGCTGGTGGCTCGTCTCCGGCACTTCGGGGATCGCCACCAACATGCTGGCGGCTCGGAACTACTTCACACGGTTAGAATTTTTTTGAAAATAAAATAAAAATAACCCGATATAAAACAGGTAGAGAAATAGATCTATATATATTTCTAGGCGTGGTTCACTGGCGAGAGATCTCTTTCCCGATTCTCTCTCTTTCTCATCTGGACTTAAAAAAAAGGACGATGACACGATCTCGTCCCTGGCTCGACCATGACCTGTCACGTGATCACTCGAGTCTATTTCTTTTTTATCTTATTCAACACTATTTTTCTTTCTCCTGGGTCTCTATTCTACGCCACGCAATCTACATCTACATTTCTGAAAGAGACAGGAAAAAAATACATTACTTTGGGATGATAATGTTGAGGTGAAAAAGTGTCATGTATGAAGCGCAAAATGTGCAGGATGTGGCAGGGCTACATGACACAAATTCTCCCACTTTTCCGTATCTCTTCCCCCTCCCTCCCTTCTCTCTCTCTCTCTCTCTCTCTCTCTCTCTCTCTCTCTCTCTCTCTCTCTCTCTCTCTCTCTCTCTCTCTCTCTCTCTCACTGGAGATATTTCTTTTTTCTCGCCCTGTGCAACCGACAGCAATCAGTTTCAACAGATGAGCATGCGCAGATGTGCAAACCGCAGCCTCTTTCAAAAACAAAAGTTATTTTTTTAAAACTACAACTAAAGTGCATTGATTCAATAACAAATACTCCGATGCATCCGTTTCTTTGTTTGTGTTATGATGTCTCTGTCTGTATGTTTGTCTGTGTCTGTCTGTCTCTCCCCATCACACCGAGTCCCACCAGTCTCACTTGACCTCTATTTTTTTAACAGAACCCACTCGATTGTATCCTTGATGCATTCCTTTTTCTTCGATTTAATATTCCCCACCCCCTCACCACCCTCCTCCCTCTTTTTTTCTTGTTACCATCTGCCTCCTTCTCTCCTTTTCCTATCCTCTCCCTCCTTTTCTCTTCTCCTTCCTTAGTTTCTCTTTGCGACTCCTTCCTCAACTCATCATTATCATCATCTCCCTCAGCTTCTCTCCCTCCTCCTCGTCTCCCTCGACTTTTTTTCTCCTTCTCTCTCTTCAAAATCTCCCCTCCCCACCTTCTCTTCTTCTTTTCCTCCTCCTCCTCCTTTTCGTTCTCCTTATTCTTTTCCTTTTTCTCCTCCTCCTCTTTCTTCTTTTTCTTATCCTTCTCCTTCTTCTTCTTCTTCTTATCCTCCTTCTTCTTCTACTACTACTACTGCTACTCCTCTTCTTCCTTCCTTCTTCTTCTTCTTCTTCTTCTTCTTCTTCTCCTCCTCCTCTCCACCCTTCCCCCAACCCCACCAAGTACGAATCCCCTTCCACAGCAACCAAACACGGCTTGCAAACGTTCGAACTCGTCGGAGAGGCTTTACCCTTTACTGCTCGTTCAGTGAAGCGAGTATCTTTTCCTCGTTAAGAAATAGAAAAATAAAAAACGGATTTTCATTAATAAACAGTACCATGCCGATAAACATACCACTGACGACGCGATCGGAATTTCGGACCCGATATCTTTTTTTTTCTCTCTCTCTATCTCTCTCTTTCGCCGCTGCTTTCCGACTCCACTTGGACGTAAATATATGGCAACTTTATGGAAGCGTTCTGGGAAACTCTCTCGCTCCTGGTGGTTATCCCTTCGTGCTATTTATAAACACGCAAATGCACGCACGCACGCACACATACACACACACACACACACACACGCACACACACGCACACACACACACACACGCACACACACACACACACACACACACACCACACACACACACACACACGCACACACACACACACACACACACAAGAACGTGGGATGGCTCAAACAGTCCCGAACTTTCCAGCCGGCAACATGCCTCCCGCTCTTGTGATTTGTACTTTTATTCGTCCTTTTTCTGCTTTTATCTGGTCTTTACTTCTTGTTCTCCCTTTGGATTGAGGGCGACCGCGAGACGAACTGTGGGGAGAGGGGAGAGGGGAGGGGGATTATACGCTTAAAGGAAGATGTATATAATTAGATGTTTGTTTTTTAGTTGTTCTTTGCTCTCTCTCTTTCATTTTTTCTCTCTGTTTGCTCCTTTCTTCACTGTCTTATATCCCTTTTCAATACCTTTCTCTTTCCTTTTACCTTTCTTTCCTCTCACGATCTCTTCACTGCTTCTCTCTCTCTCTCTCTCTCTCTCTCTCTCTCTCTCTCTCTCTCTCTCTCTCTCTTTCGCTCTCTCTCTCATTTTCAATTTCCCTTTCCCTTTCCCTCGCCCCCCCTCTCTCTCACCCACACACGGCAGTTTTCATGACTTATTACCAATACCAAATACCAATCTCATATTTACATATATACAAGCACATATATATATCTATATCTATCTGTCTCTTGAATTATTTTTATCTAACTACACCCTACTTAATTCAACAATTCCTTTCATTCGCAACCAAAAAAAAAATAAAAACAATAATAATAACATAAGCCTGACTAACAGAAAAGAATGACATTAAAAAAAAAAGATGAACACAAATAAACAGAAATACACGAATAAGCAAATGGCCTTGGAAGCTCTATTCACGGTGTTGAAAGAAGCTAAAAACAGACCTAATTCTTATTCGCCAAACCTAAGGATTCCAAGTACCCCCCCCCCCCCACTCCCTTCCTTTGATACTCTTTTCATTTATTCCTTCCTTTTTCTCCTCCTGTTTCCCTTCCTTCTGCCCTTTTCTTCGTCTTTCTTTCTTTTTGTTTCTTCCCTTCTTCCTCCATTATTTCCTTCTACTACCCACTCCCTTCCTTTAATCCCTCGTGCGTCCCTCTTTTTCCCTTCCATCTCCTTACTCCCCTCCTTTCGTAACTTCCATATCTCTCTCAATCTATCCTTCCTTTACTCCTTTCTCCTTCATTTTTTCCTCCCACTCCCCTTCCCACACATCTTTTCCTACCCTCCTTCTCCCTTGACTTTAGTCCTTCTCCCGCCCTATCCACTTCCTATCCTCACTCTCTCCCTCCCTCCCCTCTATCATTCCCTCCCATTTCCTCCTCCTTCATCGTCTCTCTCATCCTACCTTCCCTTCCTCCCCCACCCTCTTTCCTTCACTCCCTCCCTCCTTCCCTCCCTTTTCCTCTTTCCATCACTCACTCTCTCCTTCCCCACCCTCCCTCCCTCCCTCCCTCCTTCCTCCCCTCCTTCCTCCTCCCGCCCATCCCTTTTCCCTCCTCCCCCCCTCCCTCTTTCCCTCCCTCCCGCCCATGTCCCTCTTTCCCTCCTTCCCCTCCCCCCCCCCCCCTCACCAAGGAACGTGCCATGAGAAACACGTGTCTTCTGGCCGGCGTGTCCGCGGCGTCGACGACTATTCTTGGCGCTCATTCTCATTCTTTCTCTTTCCCCTTCTTTCTTCCTTCTTCTTTCTTTCCTCCTTCTACTCCCATTCCTCCTCTTCCTCTCTTATACATTCACTCTTCTTCTCTTTTCCCTTCCTAATACCCTGTCTCCGTTTATATCTTCTCTCCCTCTTTAAAAAAATGGAATGACTTATAAATATATATATATATATATATATATATATATATATATATAATATATATATTTCATTTCAGTGAAATCGTGGTGTTCTATAATTATTTCACATACTACTACTACTACTACTATTGCTACAATCAATAATATTGATACCGATGATTATGATAATGTTAATGCTAGTGATAATAATAATAATAAAAATGATAACAATAATAAGATTATATCATGCTGATGATAATGATATACCGATACAATTGCAATAAATAAATAATAATGAATCATAATAAAAGTAATAATAAATAGTGATATTCGTAATGACATTTAATAATAAAAAACAATAACAATAAAACCAACAATAATGATGTTGATGATGATTATGATGGTGATCATCATCATCATCATCATCATCATCATCATAGTGACATTGACAATATCATCATCATCATCATCATCAAAAATAACAATAAAAACAACAACAATGATAATAACAGCAATAGCAATAATAACAACAATAATTATCTTAAATCAATTCTCATCATTAACATAACTAATCATCATAATAATAACAAAATGATAACAATAATAACGGTAATGGGAGGAAGCGTAATAATAACAATAATGAATATCATCATTATTATGACTATTATTATCCTTAGTAATACCTTTATCCTTTTTATTATCATTATTATCATTCCTATTGTCATTTAATTAATAATAAAAATAATAACAACAATAATAATGATAACAAAAGGTAATAATTTTAGAAGCATACTATTACTACTACTGTTTTCCTATAATAATAATAATAATAATAATAATAATAATAATAATGATAAAAATAATAACAAAAATAAGAAGAGGAAGAAAAAAAAATATGATGATAATAAATATCTGCTATTACTATTAAGGCCTACCACTATAGGCCTATATACATATGCCAATACAAATACAGATGATCATAATAATAATGAATAATGATGATGAATATGATGATGAATGATGATGATAATAATGACAGTTTATAATAAAAATAGTAACAGTAATAATAATAATAACAATAATAGCAATAACGATGATACAAATAACAAAAATCATAATGATAATTATAATGATGATAACAACAATGCTAATAATGGTGGTGATAATGATGATGGATATGATGGTGAATATGATTAATATGATGATGATGAAGATGAAGATATATATACACATTTATATATATTACAAATAATATATATATATATATATATATATATATATATATATATTATATATATATATATATATATAATATATATATACTATATATATATTATAATATACCATACTACATACATACACACACACACACACACACACACACACACACCACACACAACACACACCACACACACACACATAATATATATATATATATATATATATACATATACGTACACGTACATACCCCCCTACACACACGCCACACACACGCGCGCGCACACACACACACACACACACACACACACACACACACACACACACACACACACACACACACACACACACACACATATATATATATATATATATATATATATATATATATATATATGTATATATATATAATAATAATAATAATAATAATAATAATAATATCAATTTTATTATTATCGTTTCTATTACTATAATACTGAAAAAATAAGGATGATAATAATAAACAATTTGAAGGTCAGAATGATGTAACGATAGCAATGATATTACTACTACAGTTAAAGGTATTGTTGCTACTACTATAATTACTACAACAATTATTTAACTACAAATCATCACCGTGAACGCAATATTATCAATGGTACTTATCATAACTATCAATGCTTACATTACTATTACCATACCAACACAGGCCCATTACCACACACATAAAGCATATAAAACAATCATATTCACTCCACATAAAAAAAATCAAAATCCAAATATAACCTAAAAATAAATAATATTCATCCAACACTCGAAGAATGAAAGTTTGACCCCATGCACACAGCGGTCAAAGGTCACAGACAATATGACCTGATAAGCTTTAAAAAGAAAATCGTGACGTCAAAATATGACCGCTGCTATCGAATGACATACATTTGCTTTCGTATCTTTGCCCTTCATTATAAAAATTCGTGACTGACTCATTATCTATATTTACATCATTACTATTGCATGTAATGTGCGGATGATAATACACTCCAACGCAAACGGACTTATATATATATTTTTTTACTCTCCCGTAATTTTTAATTATATTTATAATGAAAGCTTCCGTGTGTTTATCCTAAGTCGACAATATCGCACTCAAATGTAGGAATAGTAAATACCACTACACTACGTAAAAGGTCTACATCCATCATTATTCCGCAGATCCCGACACAAAGGCGGTAATTCCTGTAGGCCTATTTAGGTGCGTATATACACATGTAGGTATATATCTATGTATGTATGTGTGTGTTTGCGTGTAAGAGAGAGAGAGAGAGAGAGAGAGAGAGAGAGAGAGAGAGAGAGAGAGAGAGAGAGAGAGAGAGAGAGAGAGAGAGAGAGAGAGAGAGAGAGAGAGAGAGAGAGAGAGAGTTTACGAGGGAAGGAGGGAGAGATGAAGGACAGAGAAAGAGGTAGAGAGATAAACACAGACAGTGAGAGAGGGAGAGAGAGAATGGAGAGAGGAAGGGAGGGAGGGGGGGAAATGGAAAGAGAAAGGGAGGGAGGGAGGGATGGAAGGAAGGATGAGGGAGGGAGAGGGAGAGGAGAAGGAGAGAGAAGAGAGAGAGAGAGAGAGAGAGAGAGAGAGAGAGAGAGAGAGAGAGAGAGAGAGAGAGAGAGAGAGAGAGAGAGAGAGAGAGAGAGAGACAGAGCCCAGTCATAGTCAGTCAGCAAAAAAATGCATAATTTTAAAGTACACAAATGAAGACAGCGCAAAATCTCTACAAATCAGATGATGTGCGAGGCAACTGACTCGAAGAAGCTCCTCCCCCAGACACCCACAGACACACAGACGCAGACACCCTCCTCATTCTGCTTGGCCACCGAGTCTCATAGTCTGCGACGACCTCTGACACAGTTTCGCCGTGCGGGACATTACGCAGTGATAAGAACCACTTACACGAGCGTCGAGGCTCACAGAGGGATGCGAGATGCTTTTACGTCGAAGCAACACAGTGTTTGGAAGCTGCGTCGCCATGGCAACCACCGACTCCGTGTGTGCCATGAGACACTCGCTTGACCCTCCCCTACCTGTTCTCCGCGCTCTTGCTTTCGCGCGCACATGCCGTCTCTCCTTTTTCTAGTGCATCTGAGCTCTCACCCTTCCCTCCCAGAGCCTCAGACGTAAGTAGACCTCGCTGCATAGCCTCTCACATCGACTGTTTCCGAATGGTATTAAAAACAATGACGACAGACACAGTTGCTATGGCAACAACCCCGAGACCCTCGCTTGATTCTCGCTGCCCATGCAAGTTGGCTGGCCCATGGACCACATACTTCTAATACAACTGTACAAAATGAGGGGCGTTATTTTTGGAGTCGTTCCCCTCTCCTAGACCACCGACTGACAAATAAGACACCGAAATAAACCGAGCTAAAGTAGTTCCCTATTTTTAAAACGGCAGACGATACAGGACCAACAATGCTTCAGTCTGTAAGTGATGACTGAGACCAACTGCGTTTCCAAGAAGTTCAATTTTAATCACTGTTGGTTAACTACACGTTTAATCCCACGCCAAGAAAACGACTCAAAATAGGTAAATGCACACTGACCTTAACAATCTTCGTTTTCGCATCAAAGAAAATGCACAATTCCGAATACAGGACAAACTATGTCACTTAAAAATGTCCTTAAACGATTATTTTTTCTAGCGGGTTTTGCTAATCGTGCGAATGATTAGGCAAGTAGGATATATTTGCACGGGAAATACGAACGCAAATTGCCGCATGCGCACCCACACAACACAAAAAAACACATTCATTCAATTATTATCGGTACAAACTATGACAGTTCGGAAGATGACATGAGAGTATGTGTCAGAATAGGATACAAGTTAGTGTGTGTGTGTGTGTGTGTGTTGTGTGTGTGTGTGTGTGTGTGTGTGTGTGTGTGTGTGTGTGTGTGTGTGTGTGTGTGTGTGTGTGTGTGTGTGTGTGTGTGTGTGTGTGTGTGTGTGTGTTGGTGTGTTTAGGTATGACTGTGTGTGTGTGAGAGAGAGAGAGAAAGAGAGAGATTGTCAGAGTCAGAAAATACTCAAGTAACTGTAAATGATAGCATCTTTCCCTTTTGTATGACTTTTGATTGAAAATTTACAGTATGTCATTTTTTTTTTTCTCTTTATATTTTCTGTTCTATCCGCACTTCCTCCCTAGCTCTCTCTGTCCCTGTCTGTCTGTTCGTCTCTGTCAGACTGTCACTGTCACCCTCCCTCCCTCTTTCCCTCCCTCCCTCTCTCTCCGCTTCGCTTTCTCGCTCTTTTTCTTTCCTCCATCCCTCTTCTCATTATATTTCTCCCCTCCCATCTTTCGTTCTGACTCTCCCTTTCTACCCACCCCAACGTCCTTAAAAATATCCACCCCGTGCTGTATGCAGCAACAAAACTCTACGCTTTCCCACGCCATCTTTCAAAACAAGGTCTAACCTTCTGCTAAATATTTCTTCCCTTCACCAAGGCCAACGCCGAAGACCTACCGAGACTCATCCTCCAGTTACCTCAAACCAGTTACGTCTGAGTATCTAAATATAGTGTGTATTTTGAACAAAGCCGCCCTTACACGTTTGTAATACTCGAGAAATCCCAAACCCAAAAGGAAACCTGCAAAAGTTTACAGACGCTACTCCCCCTCCACGAAAAAGTTTGGATTTTTTCTTTTTCGTTATTCGTATTGACCGCCGGGGGTAGAATCAACAGATAAAATCGCAGCGATATCACAGGAGGAAAAGAATAACAATGAAAAAAATTGGGGAATCCCATTTCCACAGTCCACTAAAGTAATAAAATCCACACCTCTCTAAAAATGATGACAAAATTTAAAAATAGTTAAACTATGACACTGGAAACAAAATGATCCTTCTTTACGACAATATATTAATTTCTTTCAATATCCTACAAATAGATCCTCCTTCATAAACAACATTTTTATCCATAAAGAAGTATGTATCCCTTCCCTCATTCCGAAACCTGGTAACCACCGCTCACAGACCTAACCTAACCATTGTAATTCCCCCAAGATATAAACAAATGGACACTTTCCACCTTCCCTCCACCCCTTCCCCTCCCCCTAGGCACACACTGGCCCCGCTGTCCCATACAAATGACGTTTGAAAAGAGAACTCCACATGAAGTCCCTTATTTTCACTGAACACGCGATCCCCTCCGTATGTGCACATGTACAAAAGATATCCCACACAGCTAACACGACATTTGAAAAAGCAGTCCATTTACATGCACACATAAAGTTGTCGATAAATTGTCTATAAAAAATGTTTTTTGTCGCATGAATATGAACGTGAATAATAAACAAAATCCGAAAAACATGAATTCACTCCCAAAAGATAATCGTTGTACATCCAAAGCGGAACAAAACGCGACCCAGTGTTTGTCCCGCCCAGTTAACAAACAGGGAAGTGCAGTATCATCACACACCAATTAATCAGTAATTGTGGAGAAGTAATAGGATGTTAAGCAGCGAGACCTGACTGTGCCCTGCAACCACTTGTTTGGCTCACCCGTCCTACAAGTGGTTCTATTTTTAGCACACTTTATCGAATTCCATTACAGCGGCAGGTACGTCTCGCTAACTTCTTTTTTTCTCTTCTTTCATTTAAGGGGGTCGAGTAGGGGGAAGAGTCTCCACCGCCGCCCCCTTCCCCAGCTCGTACTGGGAGTGGCACGCCAGGGATCAGTTCAGTAAGTTTTCGCACTTTTGTTTATGGCGGTATTCTCTCCGTGGCCTTCTCAATACCGCCTGCTTTAATTAATGCACACAACACAGGCGACGTTACCACTATCACCGCTGCCCGCCACCTTCACTTACACACTGTGTCATAGGGAGCGCAATAATTCATCTGTCGCCGCCTATTGTTTACACTCAATGTCACTAAAACTGTGGCGGACCTTAAAGGTAACCCGGGACTCCAGACTCACAGCAACGTGAAGCCAAACTGGAGTTCCAAAAGCGATAGCCTTGTCATCTTGTTTCATTCTTCTCGTCCGACCAATCGGAGAGCCGGCGCGATGCAACGTCACAAATATTCATGACGTAACTTTGACGTCACGGTTGGAGGCGGAGCGTCAGTTGCTATGGAAGCCGGCATTCCAGTTATTAGATATTTTTTTAGGCTTATTGGCCACTTTTATTACTTATTTTTTCTAATTGCTATGATATTCTTCTCTAATAGTTCACTATTGTAAAATGTTAGTGCCAGAGGAGCCCCGAGTGAGGCGTATGCGAGTCGTCCAATGCAAGGTGCAGAGCAGGTCACGTGCCTACCTGCTGCAAGCTCCGCCCT